TATACGTACGACTTAAAATTGCTACATGAAAAGAATTTTATAGAAAGACTTGACAGTGTTAAAAAACTTATAAATATCTGGTCTTCAAGAGGTCTTTCGATTTATGGGAAGGTGACGATAATTAAGTCTTTAATCATTCCAAAACTGGTTTATATTTCGTCATTGCTACCCACCCCTAAAGAAATCATTCAGGAACTAAATCGATTACTATTCAAATTTTTATGGAAAGGAACTGATAAATTAACTAGACTGTCCGCAATAAATGAGTTCGAAAATGGAGGATTGAAAATGATCGACATAGAGAGTATGATCCAATCTCTTAGGCTAGCCTGGATAAAAAGAATTTTTGGGACAAATGACGGTACATGGAAAAGTTATCTACGACACCTTCTGAATCGGATTGGAGACCTTTTTCTATTTCATTGGTCTGAAACGCTTCCAAATATAACTGGTTTCAAGCTAAAGGTCAAAAATAAATATGAGACAGAGAAATATATATTTATAACATAACGCGCGTGCTTGCCCTATATAAGTCCTATTGAGCCGCTATGAACAAAATCTTTATTTACGCACGCCCGTGCGTAAATAAGATGACGTGAGCATTTTTTTTTACCCGGCTGCAAAGTTGTCGTCTTTTAAGCTGCAGTTCACTTTTCCTTCTCTTTAAAATATGGAAGAAACCAGCGAAGAACTGCCCAATTTTTCTATCGGCATTGACCTTTTAGGTCCTGATCCAACAAGCAGCAAAAATAAAGCCGAATTTAAAAAGACTCGCAAGTAGCGCGTTTCGCAAATTTGCCGAAGACCAGCTGCAGCAAACTTTGGCCGAAAGACATTCACTGGGAACAGAACAGACACCAACTGGTCATCAACAATATTTAAAGGCAAAATTTCCGTTTTTATTGTTGTTTTTAAATTTGTTATGCACTTTGTTATCTCCGGACAATCCGACTTAAGCAGGAAAATTTCTCTCGCAATAACAACACAAATTTCACGAGAAGACAAATTTATTACTCACAAAAACAACTGCTGCCAGGTCTTCTCAAGAAGCCGTAATGACCAGCTAATGTTCGTAAATGAATATGAGTTTAAAGAAGGATGACAGTCGTCTTCGCTAAAAACATGTTTTCTGGATTTCGCCGAGCAAAACGTCTGAAATGTAAACATCTTTTCAGCAAATCTAAACCATGCTCCACGACTTCTTACGAACATGTTAGTGTTTTAACTTCAGGTGAACTTTAAGACTCTTTTACCTTTGTTTCTGCTTAGTTTCCATTGGTCGTTGACGAATAAAGAAGCAAATTTTTTTCTTTCTCACTTTTACAGAAAGAATATTTTCATTCAAACTAGACGATTGTGGCGTGTTCGTAAACAGCCAATAGAACCGTTTGTTATTGTGTCGCGCGTTACGAGAATTTTGCAGTTAATCAAAAAACAATCATTTTTGTCAGCTATGTTATAAAAGAATTTGCTCATGCTTTTAGCTGTGCGTATATCGAGTTATGGATGCACTTGGGAAGTTTGGAGAGCACTCAAGAAGCTAGAGTTGCACTCGGCTATCGCCTCGTGCAACTCTTACGCATCTTTCGTGCTCTCCAAACTTCCCGCGTGCATCCATAACTCGATATACGCACGCTAAGCATGAACAAATTCTTAAGTATTAAAAACAATACAGTAGAAAAACTTACTAGGAAATGGGCGATAACCTCTGGCTCTGTGCTTCTATAAGTTAAGTTTAGTATTGTTATAGTTGTCGTTGCATTATATTGTTACTTTTAAGATACTGTGTACTATTAAGTAGGCACCGTGTAATTGTTATGCTATGGTCACTGCGTAAGTGTGTAAATAAGTTTATTTTAGTATTATTAGTGTAATAGTAAGTATGCACTGTGTAATTGTAATTTTATAGGAAATAAACAGACATATTAAATTAAAAAAAAAAAATGTTTCTTTAGTAGGTCCAAAAAGTGGCTACTGATAGTCTTCTCATAAAAACAATCGGAATGAGGAGAGGTCAATAAACGTCTTTCTCCTGTCGATAATTTTAGTTGGAGGAGGACTGGCACTAGTCAGTGAACACCAATTGCACAGGCCAATTGTAATGCTTCGAACCATTCCGAGCTGATTTCGTAGACACTTTGTAGGGACAATGTTTTGATACAGAGAAACTGGAGCTACTCGTTTGTCAAGTGGTGGGAAAGGTTGGTTACAATTTTTGAACAATGGAGGGCGTGGTCGATCACTTGACCAAATATTTTTAATTTCTTATTTCAAGTTTTTTTAAGTTTCGTTTACTTTACAATATAACGTCCCTCGTGGATGTCTTTAACCATTGTTTTTGGAAACTGTACATAAAAACCATAAATGACTTAGACCCAGGCCTTAATCTACCTGAGCACCAGAAAATCGATTGATATAGGTGTTCGTGAACAAGCACCAGCAAGTCCTGTTGAAACTTTCTTGTTCGTTTTTTTTCTTTTTTTCAGCTTTTCGCGAAGCAAAAAGGTTTACAGGTAAAAAAGATGCTAAATCATAACCTGTTCCTCCCTTTTTTATCTTTAAGCACTGTAGTGATTTGTCTCCAAGTGGTAACTGCTGGGCTGGCTTTATTTTTCTTTGTATGCATGAAAGGAGATGGAGTAGTCAGACAAACATGATGTGGTGCTATGCCAGTTAGTTATGGAACACTACCAACATCCGTATAGATACAAGGAAAGGGGAGATGTATGGAACCACATAGCTGTAACCCTAAGTGCCCCTGATCATCCAAAATTCAAAGTCAATAATAGGTCCGCGAGAGACAGACTAACCTTGCTGATTACCAAGCATAAAGCGAAAATGCGCCAAGAGGAAAAAGCCCCTGGAATCACACGCGAAGAGACCGAACTAGACCAAGCTCTCGAAGAGATAATTGACAAGGAGAAGTTGGCCAACGAAAAAAGCTCCGGGCAAAGAAACAAGAAAAGGAAATAAAAAAGTAGCTGCAGTGGAACACAGGCAAAGCGCTATGGAACGTTTAGGGCAGACTGTGAAAAGACATGTTGAACACTTCATTCTCATTTCCTTTGTTCACACGAGAAACTCGTCGTCCACAGCAAGCGTGTGCTTAACTCTCGAATTTTCCCGCCGTGAACGACGTTCTCTACCCATTCCTTTCACGGCGCAGTTAGTCGTCGTCGTCTCTTTCGTCGTCGATGCTTAAGGTTACTATCGTGTGTCTTAAGAAGTGCTGTCTCCGTATTATGACCTTGTCTGTATGCAGACTGTAGCATATTGGACAAGTGAGCATGCATCTGATCAAACACAATTTCGACACATACAGCAAATTGCTCATAGGTCCAAGGTTATTGAAGTTGTTAATACCAGCGTTTTTGAAACGTGGGTCAACCAACGCTTCTTTCGACATGGTCAGAAAGTGTCCTCCCAATAACGGTGAGTTTATCGTTTTAGTTATGACTGGCAACAGCACTTCCAACCAGGCAATAACAAGTGGAGTCAACGTTAAATCAAACCCATACGTTTTCTTTAACGATTTCTGGACAGATATCTTTTTTTGGAAGAGATTTAAACATAGAAAATACCTGCGATTCATTAGCGCTTGGATCGTCTGGAACTGCATCCTTTCCAGTAATGAGATTAGAATCTATGTCAACCAATTCTAATTATCTTTCGTGCAATGAAACTCCCGATTTCGTCTACCAACACGGACTTATCGTCATAATCTGAAAACAACAATGCGTCATTTCATAGCAGCCTCCTGGAGGCACGAAACAATCGCTTCTGATCCCTACTGTTTCCTTCAACAAAGTCAGTGTAAAAATGCGTTTAGCCTGGTTTAAAAGGTAAGTCACATGATTTCTCCTTCTTTTGAACAACTGAAAGTTCGTATCCAGCTTGGTCTCCCTCCATTTGCGTTCCGCCTTTCTGTGCAAGCGTCTAGCTTTATCTATTTCCTCGTTGTAACGCAGCACAGCAGGTCTCGCAACAATAGTCTTTGTCTTGAGTGGCGCGTGGGAATCTAATACTTGAGACAAAGTCATGTTGTAGTTCTGTGCAAAAGTATCAAGGTCACGAGGGCTGAGGATATCCATATCACAACCAGGACTAACATTACATAAACTTGATTCAGCTAGATAATTCACAAGAGCAGAAGTGTCAACTGATTTGATCTTTCGGTACTTTACTTCCTTAAAGGTAATTGGAGGCTTAGGTGACACTAAGTTACACAATATTGATGCATGGATAACGATCTATTTGCGGAGGATCATGGATAATGATCTCAGGTCGACAAGTAATAATGAGATCAAGGGTGTGTCCGTGAATATGGGTTTGTTGGTTGACATGCTGCTGCACACCAAGAGATACCAAGGGGTCTAGAAATTGGCAAGCGTCGATGTCATTTGAGTCATCCACATGAATATTCATATCTCCTGTTGTTATGAGCTTCTTCTTTAGTCAGAAGGATAGACTTCATATACCTCCCAAATTCCTTACAGAAAGTATTAGATGTCACAGGATGCGCCTCTAAATACGGTGGGCGATGGATGACTTGAAAACTTACATCAGAATCAACATTATCAGAACATTACAACAGCCTCAAACTGTGTAACTGTTCAGGTTGAAACCAAAAAAAGGTCTTTTGACAACACAATGATCATTTTTGATCGATACGATACATCTTGGATTATCGGTTTGTACGTATTTAGACTATAATTTAAGCCGCCGTCACGTGATGTCACTGTCAATGTACGTTTCACTTTCAGTTCATAATTTCACATGCTTTTTAATTTTGCGGAAAAAACGCTAGTAGGAGAGGCGTCTTTTGGGAGAGATCTGCTTCTACGATGACCAAAGCTGCCAAAATTTTGTTATGAACTGTTGGTGATTCAGTCCACGTAATGATTTGTAAAGAAAAAGGCGGATAAGTATCATTCAGCTGCACGTAAGTTAAACTGCAATTAAACTTTTTAAGTTTCGACGAGTGCTGCACAACATTTTTCGTAAAATGTTTATCTTGTAAAGACTAAAAAAGAAACAACTGTTGTGGTGTAGAGAGGTTGCGTCCTGTAGTAAAGAAGCCATATTATTAATAAACCATCTTGCTTGTAGGTTTAAAGTAATTATTATTTTACAATCCTTACGATATTTGAATGCACGGCTGTCAGAAGAAATTTCATGTTGCATGTAAGCGGGTTTACGACTTTACGATAATTTGAAAACGTAAGAAGCGATATTTGTCACCAATTATAAGCTAGCTATTTACAATAAAAGAGTGTCTGATCTTAATTTTTATCTGTGTTTTATTTCTATCAATAAGCGGCTGCAAGGCCTGATGTTTTTTTTTTCGCGGGAAACGATCCCGATCCAACCGCGCCGCCGCGCTAGAAAGGAAATCAGGGAAACTCTCGTCAGCCATCACGTTCCTTTGAACACAAGTTGATTACGATTCAGTCCACGTAATGATTTCAACGTAGTTGCCTTTGTTTGTAGGCAATTTTAGACATTTCAAGACCTTTCATCTAGAGTAACTTCTCTCGTAAAGAATATCTTCTCGTCGACTTCCCTTTTGAAAAAAGGGATATCTCCACAAGTTTTGATGTGGCTAAATGTAACTTAGGCGAGGTTGAACACCAGACAATGCTGGGCAGCGGTCTCCACCACTAATCGTTTGTGGGGCGGTCTTGAGCCAGTAATTTTACAGCGCTTTCGCTTAAGTCAATCATTTTAACCATACACAAATGATCCGTACAATTGTAAAGAATACATCGAAATTTTCCATAAAGAAGCACTAACCACCATAATTGTTTTGGTGATTTTTTGCAGGCATTGCATCAAAACTTGAAGAGGTTGGCCCAAATTTTTAAAGTTTTAATACATGTCCATCCTTTCCATCCGTTGCAACAGACGATGGGAAACAGTTTCGATGGCTAAATATGGTCGTAAATAACAAAACTGGTCCATTTGTTTTTGAAATTCAATTGATACGAGAAACGATTTGCTTCTAAAAAAGATAGCAAGTAGTCTGACATAGCCCCTTTGATGGCCTTACCTCTGTCACTTGGCAACGCTCTTGTGGGTCTCGCATATCTGCTAAGGAATGCGCTGTTGTATTCTGCTCCGATATGATTGCTCGCGTAACAGGTGTAAAGTCCAAAATCTTCTTCTGTCACTTTACTGATTTTCAACTCGGATTCATAACTTTCACCTCGCTGGATAGTGCTGTAATACTTGGGATCTATCAGCAGAAATGCGTCATCTCTCGAGTTATCACCTATTTTTGACACGAATGTGATAGACTTGTCCCATTTCAGCCATCTCAAATCCGGAAGTGTCGCACTTACAAGCACAAGGCACTTCATTGTTACACTTTCCCCAACCTGTGCACTTTTGTTCCTTGGAAGATCCTTCCGCAAAATGGGTCTTGTTCGTGGTTTAGCTGTTGAAAAGATGACGAGAGTTAGCCCTGTGCGGCCTAAATGAAATGATTCCAAGAAAAATGAGAAAACTAGATCAAGATTAGACCATCCTCTCCTCACTGTCACATGCACTCACCCAGAACCCTGACCGAGTATGTATGATTTATACTGCCATATGGATTGGACACTATACAAGTGTATTCCCCAGAGTCTGTAGGTATTAGGTCTTTTAGTTCCAAGTACCAAATTGAAGTGTTCAGGTATGGGTCCAATCTTCTCCCTCTTAAAATCTTCCCGTCTTTTAGCCAGGTGTATTTAAGAGGTGCTGCTCCCATTGCCTTACACCTTAACTTCACTGAGTGACTTGCTGGCCATGCTTTGAAAGCTCTTTTTAAGGTATCTGGGTCGGAAAAGGTGGGTGGATCTCCTATACGGGAAGGAAATTTAATAGTACCTTGAAAGGTCAGTAAATCAGAGTATGTAATCTAAATTATCAATTGCCAAAAATGCAATCTATTTCTATCAACATATTTAGTACTAAAGTACTAATTGTGGACACTGTTGTTACGTCTCCTACTGAAGACGGGACCACCATTTCACGTGCTCATCCGAGCCGCACGAAAGGTCTTACGCGACAAGGTAAGCCGGTACCTTCAGTTATTTTGAGATTCTGAGTATTGGTGCGGCCTCAGGAATTGAACACGCAACCTCCCGCTCTGCTGTCAACCGCTCTACCGCCTGAGCTAATCCTGCTGCGGTCATTATTATATCGGGTTGGGTTGTGTTTAGCAACTGGCCTCCTTTGCTTTTCAGCAGCACAAAACGATCGACTCTTTTTTCTTCTGGAGTTTGTTCAACTTGTTATGATCATCACAAGTTATTAAAAGGAACTCCATACCAATGAAAAAAAGGATCGGATCGCAGAATCAAGGATGTTCAACTTGTAAGATACCCTGCAAGGGAGCCTGTCTTTTACTTTCTCAATTTTGGCGTATTCGAGAAAGACCCTGCATGAATTGAATAAGATCTTTGTTGAAAATGTGCTACTTGTTGCTGGAATACTCCAACCTAGGTCTAACAGCTATGCGGTTGGATGCTCACACGTTTTGAAAACAAAGTTTCATGAGAGGAAACAAGATTGCGTACAGTACAAATCCGCGAGTAAGAACCTGGTAGGCTAAAATTTGCCATTAACGCCCCCTCTAAACAAGAAGCTGTTTAGCCTAAAATTAAAAACAGGTTCTTATTTTCTAAAATATACATTAAAACAATTCTGTACGCTTGGGCAAAAGCACTTCAAATTTACGAGGTCAGTGCTTCAGTTCTTTTACTCATGGTCATTTTTACATAAACACTAAATACATGTGGTATGCACATTTTATATATCAAGGAATAAGCTGAATAGCATTGAATACTCATGGCTACTAAACCATGCTTTAAATAATAATAATAATAATAATAATAATAATAATAATAATAATAATATTAATAATATAATAAGAACCTGACTTGGGAACCTAACTTGGGAAAATGCCGGTTCTTACTCGCGGATTTTCACTGTGAAATTAAAAACGTCACTTCGTAGGAACTTTGTTTACAATTTACAAACATTTGGGGTATTTTGTCAAGTGCATTTTAGCGGAGCTCTTTACATGCGCGAGCGGAGCCCCGCAGTAGCTAAGAAAATTTGGTAAACCATCCATCCGAGAAAAGCATCCACCCTTAAAAGTCATATGGATCTCCCCAGTTAACTGATTCGTGGACTGAGAAAACAAGTTTATTGTTTGATTTAAATTATACATTTATTAACTGTATCTACGCTTTTAGCTCTGGCTAAATCTATATGTTACGATTTTGCTGCATGGAAATAATTTTCTACCTACCAGTGAACACCGACAAGCCAAAGTCCGTCGCTTTCTTGGCATTTGTTTCTACGACTGCTTCATTTATCGCACAAATTTCGTCTGCCGGAAATGTCTCGAAAATAGACGCCATCTTGGCTCCGGTCGCAAAACAGTGAAGGATATTACGAGTTACGGGAGCCAATGAAAACGTGCGAAAATTGCTATTCACTGATTTGGTAAATACTAAATTACATCTATCATGACTGAAGGCTTGGTTACCAATGGTCGCATGGCAAAGACCGTGTGCGAAAGGGAAATAGGCTTCGGGGCGGCGACCACACAAAAAACATCCTTTTCTCCTCCTCACTCAACAAGACAAAGGCAGGCACTGCCGGTAGGGTGCTTGCTATAAATATATTTATAGAAGATGACATACAACCATAAAGCTGAAAATTTAATACCTGTATCACAGCGATCTCCTCTCCAACCAGATAAGCATACTTTATTTCCATTCTTATTGCATGTGTAATGCCCAGAGTTGTCGTTTCGGGCCAGACAGAATTTCTTACAACGATTTCCATAATAGTCAGCATCACAGATCACTCTGATCTTGTAGCTGATGGTGACAACAGAACTATTATATGCGTGCAACTCCCATTCCTTGTTTGAAAGTAATCTCCCTCTCTGTATAACTCGGTCGATTAATTCACCGTTACCTAATATGTGAATAATAAATAACAACATATATAAATAACAAAAAAAAAAAGATTGTTTGAAAGGTTGTTAAAGTGCTGTGAGGCGGAAAGGACTGTTTTGCCTGACGAAACTGCATAAAGTGGATACCGTATTTTTATGCCAATAACATGTTCATAACGTAACTTACTAGTAATTGCCTCCTAATATTCAATAAATGTTGATTGCCTTTGCACTAAATATTATAGAGAAAGTTATTAAAGATCTAATGTTCAATTAATGCTCCTTGCCTTGTCTCCAACATAGACAAAATTAAGTTGTTATGCATAGAAAACAATTTAGCCAGTGCTTTCATAAACATAAACATTCAGACGACCTATGAATGCAAGCTAGGCTCCAAACGAGTTAGAATCCTTTGGGCAAAAACTTACTCGAATTGTCTGCGTCCCTTGCCTCCAAAACTAAGGAGTACGCAGCCTGCAATAAACAATTATAATAGCGTTCGTTAACTTATCTCGGGAGGGGAAGGGGGAGGGGGGGAAGGAGTCACTCAAGAGAATTTCGGAAATTTTTTTTTAGCCACTGAAGAAGCTTTGTTTTCAAACCGAAATATTGGGCAGTTTGTTTAAAGATATATTTTTTGGTTTTATTCTTTTGTTTACTTCTTCATTTCCCATGCCGTAAGGATCAGTTTGCGGTTTCATATTTTTTGCGTTCGAGGTACGAGAACGCAACCTCTTATTTGTGTTGGGTTTTCTGTGCATTATTGGGTGTCCTGTGCAATTAATGAGGGAGGTGTTTTCGAGATTGCATTTGTCGTCGTCGTCGACACACATTTGCCTCGCTTTGAGGCGCTTGATTTCGTTTTGCCTCACTTTGACGCGCTAACTCACGTGGTGATTCTTGTGTCCTCGGCGTTCATCTTTCAAACGTTTGCTGAGGTCTGCTATTCTGTCTTCGTAACTCGTTCATCTTTTAATAGTGTGCTGAATCTTCGTAAAACGTACATATTTAAGACTTTGCTGAAGGTCTACTATCGATCTGTGTTTGCTGAATCTTTCAAAACGTTCATCTTTCAAAAGTTTCGGCGGCCGTTATGCCACAAAGTAAATCTACTGACTTGTGTCGCTCGGCGGCCGTTGTGCCACAAAGTAAATCTACCGAGATGTGAAGCTCGGCGGCGCCATTTCGTGATGACTTGTGATATTTTCGGCACCGGACAAACGAACATTTTAGGTCTATGTTATTTATTCGGAAAAACTTATAAACAGCCCACAGTAGCTCCACTTAAGTCACTGAAATCAACACACTCGACCAAATCACGGCAGCACTTATTGCAGCTTATTGAGACGGAGCATACGATATCACTAGCCTTCAAGGCTTTTTCATAATGATACACTGTTTAAATAGAGGTTTCGCTGTAAGCAATCCTTACGTTTAAAATATGTCATGATCACATTAAAGCCCGGTTTCCATATGATCGATACCATCGCTGTGATCGCTGCGATCGCTGAGAAAAAAAAACTTCAGCGATCGCAGCGATCATAGCGATCATATGAAACCACTCTCCAGCGATCGCAGCGACAACAATCTCAGCGATCGTTGTCGCTGCGATAACTGGAGAGTGGTTTCCATATGATCGCTGAACTTTTTTTTTCTCAGCGATCACAGCGATCGTAGCGATCATATGGAAACCGGGCTTAATCTATCGCAATAACCATCCACCCTTCCTCCTCAACTGTTACCTGTACGCCTTACAAACATATCGAACGCACTCTTCTAAGCTCTGATTACTCCTAGTCTACAGGTATAATTGTACTGATCCAGGTCTACAACTGGGAGATCCGGCACCACTCATTGGTTTGTTGATGTGGACACGCCGACATGTTTGCCCCCGCAGGGATTTCGCCCAGAAGCGAAATCCCGAGGAGGCACCCTAGTAACTCGCGCGTATATCAAGGACAGTACTTACAGTTCAAATATACAGTCAGTATACTAGAAAAAATCTCCATTTGCTCGAACAGGGACCGCGAGGAATCGATAGGCAATGATGACGTTTCTATTGTTTACGCCCGCAAGTACGAAATGGTTAGGATGACGTGAAAGACAGAAAATTCCGAAGGGACGGCTCAGGTAGATTTTGTGACATTTATTGTGCAGTCATACTTCGATACTCTTTTGCGTTACGCAGTGACATTCTGTGGAGCAGTTGTTTTGAAAGTTATGGGCCAAAAGACACTCGTTAAGCGTAGATGAGGTTATAAGGTGCGTTTAACAGTGTATATATAAACACTTGGAGGTTTGCCAGACACGAGTTCACAAATCTTTGATTTATATTGGAAACCTTGCCAGACACTCTTTCTCTCTCTTTGACCGGAATAAGACTCAGCCCCAAACAAGGAAGACGAGTGAACAACGACTAGCTTATCACTAGCAGATTGATGGACAATTACATGAATGCCGACAATCAAATTCTGTGCTGACTTTTTCCCTGCTCACAGATGTCCTTGCGTTATAAAGTTTCAAATAAGACTAGAATGCGCGAGCGTGAATCAATCAAACGTCCTTTTAATTTCTAAGGCTTACCTTCCGGCAAATCAAATGAACTGAATGTAAAAAGTGAAAGAGAAATAGCGAAAAATTCAACTTCTAATTAAATCTTTTCGTATGGTTTAGAATAAACTATTCTCGAAACTGTATTTTTTGTATTTTATTTTTACCACATACATACATTAGTTGTACAATATCAATTGGTACAAAGTTGCTTAAACTACGTGTACATAATAATGATAATAAAAGAATAAAATTAGAATGGAGAAGGGCACATTATAGTAAAACTAATCATGGCCCTTTAACAAGATTGACTTTATTCTTTTGTAGTTTTGTTATTCATTAAAACACAAACACGCACGCACGCACACACACACGCACACAAGTCAATATTAAGCAAGATAATTCTAATAACCAAAGAAAAAGAGCCATCCCCCAAAATTGAGCTGCGTACCACCGTCTGAACGGTTCAAAAATTAATTCTAAGAACAGACTGCATAGACCTACCTTCCACAAGCTTGAGAGGTGAATAGAAATCGGATTGCGAAATCCATTATTCGACAATGAGGTGTTCGTGAAAGAGATCGAACTTCTTCTTAGAACAACGGTTGTAAACTCGCCGTACATACAAGGACCAGTCGACGAATCGTGTTGCGTGTTCTGCTTGTTTAGACAAACTCTGAAGAATGTGTCGCATTCGTCACTGCACACGCTTTGTCCATGATGTATCGTGCGCCTCCCATCACAGCATTCACCGTTAGATTTCTCATGTTTGATGTTTCTCAGCGAGTTTAAGTGGATTTGAAAAGATCCCGATCCACTTACAGTCTGCGAAAGAGAAAGAGGGTCAGACTCACTGAATCTTTCCCGAAAGCCTAAAATTCAAAGTGCAGGGAAAGGCTTTACACATTGCATGGTTTTTCCGTACCTGCTTATGAATGAAGAGGAGTACTGCAACAAAACAAGTTAAACTTTTCGAGTAATGGACCGAAGCCATCGCTAAAATCTGAATATTGGTGGCAGAGGTCAAGGAATTAAAGACTTAAATATACTGACGCACTTCCTCTTCGTGATTGACGTGCTCTTCTATTCTGAGTTTATTCTAATCTGCGATCAGGCGTTCTTTTTTCGGGGTAGGGCAAAATTCGTCTAGCAAAGAAAAAGGGAAGAAGGACACCTGATCACCTGATCGTAGGCAGGTTAAGTTTATTCCTATGTTAGGTACATTAAAAAGTTGGACCCGGGATTTGCATTTGCTTATCAAACCAGTTTCACTAAAGGGAATATCCCGGGAAAATAATAACAAGATCTAAAAAGGAACCAGAATATTGCTCAAAATCGGCAAACACATTCATTCGCTGCGAGGGCAAGACAGTGTAAAAAATTTCATGTTTTTTTCAAGACAAACAGATGCTCTCCAAGTTAGGGAAAAAAACCTGCTTCGATTTTTCCCACGCGGTAGATAAAAAAAGAGTCAGTGTTTATATTCAGTTGTTCAGAATCATTTTCAACCCAAAATTAACTGGCACTGACAACTTTTAACAACGATTCAGGGGCTAGTCAGACTATTAGGACTGTTCATTTGGGTAGCAAACTGTTCCCTTCATTTTTATGGCTCAATACTATAAAATGCCGCTAAAAGGGGCCGCGACAAATCAAATAGCATTTATTTTACATTTTATAGATCAGTGCGCTGGTAATAATCCACAGATTTTTACCCCTGGAAGGTATGACAAACACCCCGTTATTTAAAAAAGGGACTATCCCCTGGACGGAGCGAACATGAATTTCTAGAAATAAGGTTTAGCATTACTTAAAGAGAACCTCCACTCTTACTACAGAATAAGTTTACATCGAATAAAATTATGTTGATAAACAAATTTGTTCGAAATTTGTCTTAAAAAAAGTGTTTATATCAGGAAAAGTGAATTTTAAAATCGCTTATTTTCACTTTCAAATTTCGCGGGCCATCTTGAATAATTGTCACGTGTTACGGTTGCTCTATTGTTCTGACACAAAGAGCTTTTGTTTAATAACAATAGGGCAACCATTACACGTCACAATTATTCAAGATGGCGACACCCGCAAAATTTGAAAACAAAAATAGGCGAATCTAAAAGTTATTTCTTTCGGATACAAACGCTTTCTTTAAAAATATTTTAGATTGACTTGACTGTAACAGTTATTTCCTGCGATTTAAAATTATCTTTTTGTTGAAGTGGAGGTTCCCTTTAATCGAGGATCAGGTATTCATTACGGATAAAGAGGGCATGGCAGCATTGGGCTAAGTATTCATTGTCTCTAAATTGACGACCCGCGTTTGACTGCAAATGTAACACGGAAGAAGAGCAGAAAAATGGACCATCGATTAAACCCGAAACATGAAAAATTATAATAATTTTTAAACAGTTAAAAGAAATGAACAAATAGAAAACAAAAATAGCCGAAAAAAAAAGTATAAATAAATAAATGAACGTAAATAAACTGACATGAAATATATACATATTGTTGGAGGTAAATACAATTGGCTGGTCGAGGGAGGGACTGTCGCACAACCTCGTCCCCAGGGCCTCTTCCTGGCCCCTCCCATTTTCTTAGGGAGAAACCCTGGGAACGAGGTTGGTTGTCGGATACATTTCCGTGCAAATGACAGTAATGAGTGAAATCTCCCTTTTCCAAAATTTTTTAAGAGCTTAGAAACTTCTGGCTTTGAATTTTGGTGGACAGTTCTCACTGGATACTTATTACCCTGTCCCGGGGACTAAGTTATGGAACTGCCGTACCGTGACTGCTTGGGCATCGCATGGGTTACTCCCCAAACCACCCCAAGGGGAGGTGGGAGGGCTGAGACCTTAAAGTCACTTTAACTGAACTCCGTTGAACTGAAAAGGCGGGCAAAACCATGCAATTCTAAGCGAGGGTCCGATGCATCATGCCATTAGTGCGCAGGCTCGAGCGACGGAATTTTAAGGTGTTTCTTATTTCCCGCGGTACCGGCTAATAGATACGCAGTGAAAATAATGGTGGTTTCTAAAATGTTAACAGTCGCCTGTTTTTCCGCCTGGTGGAAGATGTCGAGCGCTGATCTACCGAGGTTTCTCAGGGAGATCGAAATCTGGGGATAGTAATACCCCTGAGACAAGTACTCTCTGTCCATTTCGGTCGCTAAAAGAAACCAAAATAGCGGAGATCGGAATCTTACCACGAATGTGAATGTTATACACCAACAACCAAAGCCGGGAGTCCCTAGGGTCTTCAAACGATCACAGAGGAGATAGGTAACCTTCATATAATTGCAAAACTCATGACTGACTGCGGAGGCTGGGGATGGGTGACGAAAGCTAGAACATCTTGCCAACTCTGGCGCAGAGCGCCTTGATTTACCGTGCTAGATGGACCTTGACGTTGTCTCTAATCTGTCAATCAAACCGGCGGTCGCGAGACTGTTTAATAAGCTAATTCAAAAGTAATCATTAAGGGAGGAACGACGCGCTCTAGCCCAAAGAGTCCCACTATCTTTAGAAAAACAAGGTGGAGTTTAAAAATCGTAGCTTTAGTTTAAGCTGCAATCCATTCTTCGAAATTTGGATCTGAAAATCACTAAGGAGAATTTAACATCCTGCAAAAACTACTCACTAGCTGGGCCTAGCGTAACAGAACATTGCAGGAAACCTTCACATTCACGGACAAAAGTAAACCGCTTTAAGTTATTTAGATCCAGGAGGCACTTTGGAGAAATTTAAGAGTGGTTGCCAGGGAAAACCGGGCAAAATGTTAAAAATGTCAACGAAAGGGGGTCAACATAATAAGTTCATACTAACATCATAGATAGGTCTGGTGGAGTATTGGACAAATATACCAAACATAGGTTCTTCACTGCTCTTGTATTGGAGATACGAGCATCGCTTTATTCGACCCTCTCGGACGCCATTTTTACAAGCAAATTTTCACCATTTTCTGAAACTCACAGAACCCTCAAAATTCAACGAGCGAAGTTTATTTATTGCGTGCGATAAAACACATCACAGAACTACTTTCTAAACCCATAAGACTTGTTAATTAGCCACGGACAAGACTAAAATTTTCTTATTTTATCTGACCTAAACTAAGTGTCTGCAAACGAGCAAAAAATCGGGCATTTTTGAATTGATCTACAGCGCACAACTAAAACGACAGAACAACTCTGACAGGGGCGTCGATAAAACGCGACAAAGCCGTACTCCGCCGGATGGGCACCTTGATCCGCCATATTGATCGTCCAGCAAAGCATGATGGTCTACTCTGTCGTTTTGGTTTTGGTTTTGGTTTTGGTTTTGGGTTTTGGTTTTTTGGTTTTGGTTTTTGTTTTTGGTTTTTTGTTTTTCGTTTTTTAATGTTTATAATTAGGTTTTGGTTTTGGTTTTCATCATACAATTTAAAAGCAAAAACAAAAACTGAAAGGTAAAACGAAATAGATCGGTAAAAAATAGAAAAGTTGGAAACAAAAACGGAAAAGTAAAAAACTAATAAAAACCGAAATCTCAACCGAAAAGCAAAATCGAGAAGTGAAAATCAAAACATTAAAAACAGAAACGGAAAGGAAAAAATAAAAACCGAAAAGCTAAATTGCGAAGTGAAAATCAAAACGTTAAAAACGAAAACGGAAAAGTAAAAAATAAAAAGCGAAATCTCAACCGAAAAGCTAAAAGGCGAAGTGAAAATCAAAAAGTGAAAAATAAAAACGAAATCACTATTTGGCCCCCCTGGGCTTCCGTACTGTTTACAATGCGTATTACTTCTACTTTATCCTATCACCTTGTCAAGAAATTCCCCTGCTCTATTTTAAGCGCCTTCAAAATTGCAAAATGCACCTAGTAACCGCGTCAATTTTTCCCTGGTCTCAGCGGACCAAAAGTTTGCTTACGTTGCCCCATTCACACCAAAGCTTAAACATCTTTAAAAGCTGTTTAGTTAAAAACGGTTTAAAATTATTTCCTTCATAAAAGCTTATTACTAACTTACGTTGATTGCAAATTTAGTGCAAATTACAAATTAAACATGTTGAATTTCATTTGAATCCTGTGTAAAGGCCTAAACCTGGTTTAATGAAACATGTTTAGTTGGTAGGAATGGGACATGCTCTTTAACCTGCTGTCCCCCGCTATCAAACCGTCGTGGTTTTGCTCCGTGAAACGCCCTCCAATAATGAAACTGCTGGGACGTTTACAATGACTTCTTCAGTGATATTCCTATAGTTTCCCTACATTGGGTGTAAACGAAAAAAACAATAAACAAACAAACAAACAAATATCACAAAGATTATATCGACAAGTGCACTGTTACTCTCTCCATCCGAGTTTCAAGGGTCATGGAGGACTCGGACCGATCAAGAAGACGAAATATTTTTGCTCCCACTAAGCAAAGCAAATTATCTAAGAACTAAAAAATCCCTACAGTCGTTGAAGTGAAAGCAAAATCATACCCTCTCTCGGCCATTTAAGCTAAACTTGTTTGAAAAAGTTCGTTCCCTTTGTCAAAGGGGGATGTTTAGATTTCGTGTGATGGATAAAACGCAAGCCACTGATTTTAAGGCAAAGTTGGTTCTTGTCCCGCAAGGAACCGCAAACTTTTTCCTTTTTTTGTTTTATAGTTGTCTCTTTTTTATCAGCACACGCGTTTTGGCATTCCCTTACATACTATGAACATCAAATACAGTGATAAACCGGTTTAGAAAGATCTGTTTTGATAACTATCGTACCGACACTGGAAGGACATTCTGAGTTTCTGCATTGCTCCGAGGTATTGTCATCGATGTAAAAGTTTCAAAATGGCAGCAAATAAACAATTAAATGCTTGCTGGCTGTTGTTTTTGTTACACATCCATGTAAACGACGTAAAGGTTCACCTTTTTACTGTGGGGAATAGGTTAAGAAGGCCCACAACGTCCTCAGTCTTCACTTTCAGGTTTTTTAATCACAGTTTTTTCTTTTCTCCTACAAAAATAATCCACCTCTCACT